TAGCAGGAAGTAGCGCAGAAGATATCGTGTAAAGGAAGAAGGTAAAGAGAAGCTCTGTTTGGGAACACTTTCCAGAAAAAGATGATACAAAGGCGGATTGTCACGATGAATTTAAAACTAGGTATGCAAATACTACTGGTTTATTACGCCATTTGAAACATATACATCCAAACAGAAGTACGTGTACTAGAAAAGAAACTTAATCGATATAAAATTTCGCATGTACAAAATTAAACCAAAAGATATAACAGAAAGAATTGATGGATGATGGTTCTAAATCTGCGACCTTTCGATATAGTTGAAGGCGTGGGCTTTAACGAATTATTTAAGCTTGTTCCCAATCCTTTCCCGGCTCTTTCGAGAATCTTGAAATTTTCGGGTACCCATCCCGAAAAAATTTCGTGTCCCGATCCGTCCCGATATTTCAGGTTCTCGCACATCTCTAGCTACAGAAAACGAAAGCTTCGGAAATCGCTTTAACCCGAACGATCGTCGGCCACTAAACTTTTTAGTGTGAAATAAAAGTTGCGAAGAACGAGGGGAAAATAGGAGTCAGACAACATGCAAAGCGTTGTCTCGCGTTTTGAGATGAAAGACGTCACCACGAAAGCAGGTGAGAGAGTGTGCTTAAATTTAAATTTAAATTCAAATTCATCGATTGACGTCCAAACGTCCAATCGTTTCTGCAATAACCATAGAGAAAAGCGTCAAACGTCTCCCGATAAAATCGTACAATTCGTACCGGAAGAACGTGTTCGCCTTTCTCCGATTCGCGACTGCGCTTTGTGTCATAAATCGTACGTTTCAGAGCGAAAATTTATACGAAGATACGCACGAAAAGGAAACGTAGGAAAGAGTCGTGTAACATCGACTAGGCCCTACGTTATCGCTTCCGCGATAATTTCAGGAAAAGTATCAACGCGATTTCTCATTCTCGGAAGAATGTCACGATGATACCTTTCCACGTGTTTGTTTCACGTCACGGTCAGCGATCCGCGAAAAAATTGCAAATTCAGCAACGACGTCGATTACGATCCAGCGAGGGTCTTCGTTGGCATTCGCGCGCAAAACGAAAAAGTAGAGAACAGTCGCAGAGAGAGAGAGAGAGAGAGAGAGAGAGAGAGAGAAGCGGAGGCCGCGCAGCGTGGAAGATTTAAAAAAAAAAGAAGCGGGGGAGGAGGACCAATATCATCTATGTAGCGCGTATCAAAGGCTGGGAGAAATTCAAAAGAAAATCTTGCATTCCCGCGCCGGCGAAGGAGAAGGAAAATAAACCGCATGGAAAAATGTCCATTATAAAAATTCCAGGTCTTTCTCCCATGGAAGACACGAGAAACTATCCCTGGAAGCTCCGGCCGAGTTCTCGAATAGACAATAGAAACGGTTCGTTCGTCTCGTTCGTTTTCGTGGCGGCACGCTCGCGGTGTCCAGCGGTGGTGGTGAGTCGGACGTATCGATTACACCTGGCCCGAGGAGGGTAGGAAAGAAAGGAGCCGGACGAGTGGAAGAGGGTTCTTTGGCCATGTGCGAAAGGATACGGAAGACTCGCGAAAACGAAACGGAGTAGAGAGCGGTGGATGGGAGAAAGATGCAAGAGACGGGTCAGGGAAACTCGGGGAATAAAATTCAATTCGGCAAAACTCGTTGAGGCCGGTAAACAATGGCAGTTTCGTAATTAAAACGGACGAAAAAATACAGAGTGGCGGACACGGTGATGAAAGCGGCTGAACAAATAGAGACGTTCGGTGTTTCGGGGCATAATTACACAGCCAATCTGTAAAAGGGCGCGGCGAAAATAAAAAAAAAAAAAAAGTGGAGGAAAGGGGGATGTAAAATTATTTAATAACACGAGGCACGAGTTTGCGGGAAATAGAAAAGGGATGATGATTTATGGCGAAATGAAACGTAATGAATAATCTTGTATGTTGCGTCAGTATTGTTTTCTAATAGAATTTTGGTATAATACTTGTGCTTTGGTAAGCAAATCTTCTTGCAATTGTGAGAAATAAACACGTATGTGTAAAATAATTTTAATTTAAAGATAGAAAAATTTAGTGCAAAATTGCTTTTGGTAAGTAAATCGACTGGTAGACTTTTTCATGTGTATTATTACATGTGTATTATTACATGTGTATTATTATTTTACGTGGTTTTTATAATTGCAAAAAGTGCAATATAATACGATATTTAAAACATACATAAATATAAAATGCAATAAAATACGAAATACAGTGTTTTTCTAGAATTACGTTTACTGGTAAATGTAATACTCTGATGAGTGACAAATATGTCACAGATATAATTCTTCTCAATCCACAAATGAAAACAGCAAATGAAAATAATGAGGATGTGTTTCCTTATGATGAAAGAAATTCAAGCAGTTAGAACCATTTAAAATAGTTTGAAGTACAAAAAGATACTTGCCAAAATGACAGTTTTCTTACTCGAAAATCATAAAAATGAATTAAAGAGGAAAAATAGAAAAAACATCGAAAAGGAGACATACGGTACAATCTATGATTCGACGAAATTTACAGTACAAACTATTCGTTGAAAGATCTCGAAATCTGTCCGTCACAGGGCTGAAAGTTTATCTAACAATTTCACCGGTGCGATGATGGCGTTGCAGAGAAGATTTCGCGATTGATATCCGCGAGACGTTTCAATCTTCAGAAATGCATTCGACGAGAATCTTTGTTTAAATATAAATCACGAAGATGGTAGAGTGATTAGAGTTTGATAGCGTTTGCCAAGTGCTTTGTGCGAGAACGGAGAACGCGGAGACTCGTTCGTTTCCTCGGAAAATTGAAAATAAGCTGGGGCAACCGTTTCGGTGAAGTGCAACGAACTACGAGATTTTCAAAAGGCAACAAAGACTCGCGCCGTGGATCGATAAGGAAAATATTAGGAAGGAAACGAAGCCGGTACAAAAGATGCAGAGGGTCTCCATTACTACGGCACAGGCTCAAAGGAAATTTTCGAACCTGCAAGTTTCGATCTCGGTCAAACGAATCGTCTTTATTTCTTCTTTTCTGAACTCGGCCCGAAAAATACATCCGATCTAGAGGAAACCCGCCTGTCGATGATATACGAAACAACCGTCGCGTCGTCCTGTTTGCAAATTGGTTCTAATATGTCTGACCGCTTTCCAAGCGCTTTGTTCTTTATTCTACAGAGTGAGTCATTTCACTGTGCCACCTAAATTTACGTGTAAACTGTTTATTATATAAAAAGTATTTATTATGTAAAAAAAAAAAAATACTTTAAACACGGAAGTTGTTCGATGTGTAGCAAAGTGTATAATATAACAGTTATTATAGTTTCTTGACAATTCAAAATACGAAGGTGTTTTAGAATCTTTGCATTATAATGTATAATATTTGGTCTTACGTTTCGAAAGAACTATTGAAGGCTAATATATTTTTTAATTATTTTTCATCATTTGTCTAATACTAAATGCTGTCCATTGCATTAAATCACAAGTACTTAGGCAATCAATCAGAAAGTATAATATACGTTCAAATGTTTTCGAAGTGAAATCATTACATGTTCTAATGATATGAGTCTTCATGTCTTTAGATTATTGTCAACAACTCGCGATGAGCTTCGTTTTAAGACAGTGATCAAGTAGTTTTCTAAATAATTTGCAAGATTAAGTAGTTTGGGAATTAAATAATTTACAATTTAAACTGAAGTAACTCGGTTAATGATGACTCAGTCTATATAATTGCAAAATTTTTCAAACAAACGTTGAATGTCAAACGTTATGTCAAACAAATGTCTACCGTTACCGCTTCCATTTTTTTAACATGTCAGTAAATTCATTCGTCGCAGTTCCAAAAGAGAAGGATATTTATGCTGCAAACAATTCATGCGGAACTAAGTGTCGAAATAGTAAAGGATTTACCACGCGAGCACAAGGCTCGTATTTTACGACGATACTCTTGTTTCCGTGTGTTTTTCAACGTGCTTTTACTTCCTCTTCGAGTGAAATTAAATGTACATTACGTCTTGCGTCTCTCGTAAAATGCTTGTAAAGTGCTGCTCGTATTCGTCGTGTTGAAGACTGATGAAGTAGTTTTAATAAATGTCGTGAATTTTATTAAAAAAAGAAAGAAAACAGCAAGAAATGATGATGTTTCAACGAATCAAAATCAGTGAGTAAATAGAAGATCGCGTATCATTGATTTTTGTAAAAAGCAGAGGGATGAGAAATGGGAGACGTTTCTTTGCCTCTGGAACGAACGATCGTTCAGAGAAGAACGCTTCAACGAAAGATCGCTTCGAAAAGGAAGCGATTGCTTTCCCCACGGTCAAGTCGAGCGACTAAGGACCAAGAGTAATCTCGAAACCGAGCTGGTCGAGGACATATCATAACATGTTCATTCGATTCTTTCCAATCGTTCCCTCCCGTTTAAAATACGACCTGTGGCGTTAAAATGCCATCGATACTTTGCGACGAATTTGCTTTGCGAGTGTGACACATACGTGACGTATTTTCTAAACTAAAAAATTGCGGAAAGAGTGGACTACACGATATAAGACTCGTAATATAATATACAATATATTATTTGTAAACATTTGATTTGAACACAGGTCAAAGTTACTTCTTCTAAAATGAATCTTTCTAAAATAAAGGTAATAATTCCAAATTACTGTTATTTGATTAATTTTATTTCAAATAAAATTGCTCAACCTTGCCATGGATGTTTATAAATGATAAAGAGAATTCCAGGATGGAAGAAAAGACGTAAACGAGGATGCACGAAATCGCACACCGACGGCAACATTCGCAGAAACGCGTCTCGGATAAATATATTATAACATAGATTATTTCAAGAGCAATAATCTTGATAAAAATTGAAATAAATCTTCTATACGCGCCTGTTAATCTTAAATTTTCAATCCGTCCCGATTGATCTCTATTTCCAGTGGTTCTGTCTTTTACGGACAGAAATAATGCATCTGAGAAACAAGGCTCACGAATTTTTCATTTACAGAGACCAGGCTGCATCCACGGCGAGGATCTGCCGTATTTTTTCGGTGCGCCGTTGGTAGGTGGCCTATCTCATTGGCCGAAGAACTACACGAGGGCAGAGGTCGCCCTGTCTGAAAGCGTGATACTCTATCTGACGAATTTCGCACGCACCGGGTGAGCCGTGAAATAAATAATTTCGCGTAACGTAGCGAAGCTACGTTTCCCGGTTGTGTTTCGAAACGAGAAATTAACGGTCGATCTGTGTGCACAGAAATCCGAACGAGGGGATGCCAGACGTAGGACCGCTGAGACCTGAGAGAACAAAGTTCAAGAACATTGATTGGATCGCTTACGAATCGGTGCACAAGAAATACCTGAGCATAGGTGAGAGCTGAAATTGAGTTTCCCTCTCCCCCTCCCCCCGAACTTTTCGATCGATTCGTCAGTCACGAGGCGTTTCAAAGGTGGAAAGGTTTTTCCGTTTGTTGATTTTAATTAGAAAGAGTTTCATTTAAGTTGTTCCATTTAATTGGAATATTGATAGGAGTAACTTACTCCTCGTCAATTCGGTATAACTTTAATTTAATTATTAAATTAAGATTAAAAGTCCAGTTGAAGATTAAATAAGAGAGAAGTCTAATAAATGAAGAAACGAGCAAACACCGATGAACGAATAAGTAAATTTACGAGCGCAAGTTGCTTCATCGCGTTCAATCGTCATCAAGAATTCAAGTTATGGCGGCAAGATGGCCGGCAACTGGAAGGAAATCAACGTTGGACGACTCGCTCGCTGTCTCGGAAAGTGTTCGATTCCCACGGATTCTAATTCCCCTCGTAATCTCGGCTCGCTAGAGTTTCCAATTAGCTTCAGTTTTCAGAATTCCGCGTCAGCACGAACCTCGAGGCTCAGAGACATTAACCGTTCGGAGGCGAAGTAAACGTTTCTCGTTAAGGATGTTCGAGCCTCTGCCCGGCAGAACTGCCGAGTGAAACGAACGAGAACAAAAAAGAGAGAGAGAGAGAGAGAGAGAGAGAGAGAGAAAAAGAAAAGAAAAGATGAAGAAAGAAATCGTTTTCGGAGCCGTTCCCTTCGCTCGGGAGAAATCCCTGCGTCTCGTTTCGAGATAGAGAACCGAGAAACTATTATTTAATCCGATTAGCCTGCGAACCGTGTATAATGAACGTAGTCTTGCAGGGCTGTCACGCATCTCGCACGTGTTGCTAAGAGGATCAGCGAAAATTTATTTGCATAATTCTCGTTTTCATCGTGAAAACGGGGAGTAAGAATTCGCCCGGGAGAGCGGGGCGAGGCTCGCTTTTCCACTTTACCATACGATCCTTTGGATCGCGTCGCGACTTTGAAATGAAACGCCTATTGAAAACTGCATCCACCGTGGGACTCGCCCTTAACTGGCTCTAATCTCGAGCATCTTCTTGTTTCTACGTCCCGTTTTCGTTTTGCAAACGGAGAACGAGACGATAGATGGCGGAAAATGTAACTTCAAATATCACGTTGGTGTTATTTAGTCGTTGCTGTTACTCGATGGTTTATGCGAAAAATTCGTCTCTTTTCTTTCATCGTAATTTTACAAAAGTCGATACGAGCCAAGGCTCTTCGACTCCGATCTCCATCCAGTGAAACGAGAGAAGCGAAAAGAGTCGTCAGGCCGAGAGGGCGCAGGAGAACTCGCTCGCTGCGGAGCGCAGTGTGGCTCGAACTATGCCAGGCCGTAGCCGCGAGTAAAAAACTCGGCGCACAGTGAGCTTAAAGGGTGACTGTGCGACTCCGGCCGTTTCACCACCGTCGCCGAGTGCTGAAACTTTGTGCCGCGCTGACTAACGAAGCTGCCTTCTTTATGAGATTACCACGCGACAATAATTAATTACCCTGCTGTTAATATAAAAGAGTTCCGCCGGAGAGAAGGCTTTTCGAGGTTATCGTGCGAGTTGGTAGCGCGCAGTTGCTCGCCCGTTCCCTCTGAAAAAGCCACAAGTTTTCTCTCTTTCATTCGTGCCTGCCAGTTAACCCTTCCTCCTTATCGCTTTCGCTGACCCGTCTGAGACTTCATCCGTGTTTCCAGAGCTCAAGTCGAAGCTGAAGAACCACTACAGGGCGCACAGGCTCTCGTTTTGGCTGAACCTCGTGCCCGACCTCCACAAGCCGGGCTCCGACGACGTTCCGAGATCGCATCATCTTCTTGACACCGAACAGGTACCTTCAATTCTATTTCCATTCGATTGACAGTTCGTTCACTCTCGATGAATCTTCATAGATCTTTTCTGATCTAATTGCGTAGATCTTCAGAGATAATAGTCTCTTCTCTAGTTTAAAGAGAACTTTTTTTTTTTCTTGTACAAATTGATCGTGTTTCAGGTGCCGCCTAGATTCATCCAGAGGATACCGACGACGACACGGATGACCACGGCGGAAGTGACCATCACGGAGAAGACGCAAAACGTCTCGACAGCAATACCCAGCGAACTAGCGTTCGAAGACTCAACTGCCCAGCCGGAAGACGGATTCGCGGCTTACTCGACAGCCCTCAGCGTAACGATAGCGATCGGCTGTAGCCTATTGATACTCAACGTCCTAATTTTCGCCGGTGTGTACTATCAACGCGACAAGAGCAACCAGCACAATTGCTCAAAGAAGCGCCAGGAGAACGGACAGATGCCCAACAACATTTGCGGGGATCTGGACACGAAGACTGCCGAGAGACACCACATCCAACACATTCCGCCACCTGAGTTCGCGGACTTGCAGAACAACAGCTGCCACGTACCGATGCCGCCGCCACCGCCGAAAAACACGAAACCAGGGAAACCGGGACAGAACCTGATCATCAGTCCTAATCAGCTGCAGCAGGAGAGCATGGCGATGACCGGCACCGGGACGCTGAAAAAGGGCCACAATCATCAGCAGCAGGTGATGGACGAGCTGAGGGTTTGACTCCACGAGCACCTCGTGAGTGTGGCTGAACAATTACGAACGACTGACAGCGACGTGAAGTTCGAGGACGGTTTAAGCGAGGTGCTACTTCGACTTTTCGGCACTCGCTCATGCACTTGAGCGAGGAATACGCTCGAGGTTTGGAGGAAACGTTCTGAAGCCTTGTCGTGAAGTTCTTGGCAGTTCTAGGCAAACGAAAGGAGATCGAGGTACATCGAATTTATTGTAATACCGGATTATCTCCTACGAGACCTGTCGATACGAGTTCTGGTTCATCAATCATTTCTTTGTAATCCAGTAGAGGTAATGTTAATTCACGACAATGCGATGAACGTGCATTCGAGACGGTGCTTGTTGCTGACAAACTGATCCAAGTCCCTTGAACGATGTCGTTCGCCTGTGGTGAAATCTTGCGAGCATACGATAGAGAGACACGCGCGCAGAAGTGTCTGACCCGTTATCCTTTTTCTACTTACTCCGAGCAAGCGGAGACAAAGAAGAAAACCAACACGCGACCAACTGCCGAGAAATCGTATAGTAATTAACGATGTCTAAGTAGAATCTTCGATCCTTGAGGAAACATTGGAACTGTTTCCCGGCGATGGCTCAATCGATATCTCGAAACCATTGTTTTTCCTTTTGTAACTCTTCATACAGTCCAAAGGATCTTTTCCTTCTCTCTGATCGAAGAATCGAACCTTGTCGAGGATATTCTGTTGAACAAAAATGAGAAATCTGTAATTAACACGGCGTGAGAAGGTGAACATTCTGTTTCTGAGCGACGTTCACTTCGATATCAGGCAGAAAGAATCCACGTACGAGTCAGACAGATCTGCTCTTTCGAAAAGACGATAGATTCTCGGTCAGACTTCCGATTCGATGACTCGTACGTATTATTCGACTTCTCCTTTGTAGAAACGTTAGTTCCTTTCGAATAAAATCCGCTTGCATCATCGACGACATTCCAGTAGTCCGTGGAACTTCTCATTCTTCTTTTGTTAAACTAAATTAATCGAAGTATCTTCGATTGTCCCACGAAAAAAAAGAGAGAGAGAGAAAGATACAGAGCCTTGAATCGATCGTTCGATTATTTACGCTCTGTCACTGCCACGGGGAAACTCGAGCTCGTGCGACGAAATTCGAAGAGCTGAAAATAGTGTCGTTTGGCCTAGATGCTCAATAAAAATATTGCGAAACTAAAGGAACGAACGAAAATTTTTGAAAATAGGCACCGATGGCACCGATACGATTGAGATCTTGAATCAAACAGCGCCGTAAGGGGGTTCTTTTTTTTTTTTACTAATACGAAAGACGGGATTGAAGAAACACGATCAGCTTATGATAGATGATTTGTCACTAAAATTATACAACAGCATACTGCCAAAAATTGGAAGCGATACTTTTAGCTGGGAACGCGAAATACGTCGATACGAAAGATCGTTGATACAGTCGTACGTACAGTCGCGATTCGAGCAAGAAGGAAACAAGGAAACACGTGATTTTTGGTCCAATTTTTTTTTCTTTTTAGAGCGTCACTACGTCGGACATTCTAAAAAAAAAAGAAAAAAAAGAAAAAAAGAATATGGACAAACTGTACGAAAACAGGATGGATTTAGAACTGTAAATAATGATTAATTTAACTTAGTGATTCGTCGAGTCGTTTGTGGCGAAAATTTGGTGGTGTATGAAACGACGAAGAAACGAGGAATCCGATTGTAACTGCACTTGTGTCGAGTAACAAGATGGTGTGTCAGCGTAGAAGCACTGGACGTAATTTTAAATTTGTATATAATTGACATTACAATAAACTGTGTAAACAATTACAATTAGCCACGATATTCTAAATGTTTTCCTTCGACGAAGTTATTCGCCTACGATAATTACGAGTAATCCTTCACGCAACGAATTTCAGAGAATTAATTCCCTCCTGCATAAATGCATATCCGACTGAAAATGTTCGCGCAAAGGCTAACGAGTCTTTTTACAAAAATGAATCGGAAAAACAGATATTTTAAAAGCACATGATCTGCCAGTAGTTTTATTTATGAAACAGAAATTCCAATATTAAATGCAATACACGTAACGTTTCTGATATAATTAAAAGCATCGAAAGGGGAATATTCGATCGGAAAACTCTCGCGTAAACGAATAAAAAAAACGTACGCACTGTACGCTAATTATCAATTTCGAATATTCATATGAATGGTCAATCAATTAAACAAACGCGAGCACACGGAATTTCCTCCCGTTTTCACCATTTTTTACCGCGATACACAAGAACTAGTATCAAATAACGTCAGAAGCATTTTAATGTCGGGCTGCCTTTGATCTTCGTTATCACACTGATCGTAAAAATATATTCTTGATCGATCATTCTTCATCGAATATAAATTGCACAAATGAATACACTGATCGAATAATACGTGTCGAACGAGTCGATAAGTTTGTAAAGAGGTGTAATAAATTTTACCACTCCGTAATTCGATAAAACCATTCATTCGGATTTCCATATAACGTAAGTGCCTCTTTAAGGTTAATAAGAATCAGCTCATACTTCCAACTGAATTTATTAAACTGCATAATACAAAAAAGCTTCATCTATTTCGATCATATTAACTCCAATATTTCCGCTTAAATTAATCCAAATTAATGTTCCCCTTGCATCTTTATCCCCGCGAACTGTTCTCGGAGCGATAAAGCTTTATCAACGTGGATTCTGGTAATTCGTTTCAATCGCGAAGCAGCTTTCCATTCCAATTAACGTGGCTCCCGTTATATTTTTCGACGAATAGTTTTTGTACGAATCATCGGTTAACTCCGGAGTCCACGTAATCCGAATTTTTATTTGGTTTGTACGACTCGACCTCTGGGCTAACCCTCACCCGCACTGCCAACTTCCCATTCGAAATGTTCGGATTAATCGAATTTCACTGCCGCCGAATTAAAACACGCTCTTTTTATCAGGGTTTCTTATAACTTCGTTTTTAATTAGCGGCAATATTTGCCAGACTTACCCAATTATTCGCTCTCCACTCGACTCACCAACACGTTCACGTCAGCGGGAAAAGTTCGCCGGCGAAACGAGAAGTTGTTCCGCAGGCTTTCGCTGATTATACTCTTATTCTGATTGAAATTAGATTCGAGGAGAAAAAACGAGGAACGAGTGTATGAGAAAAAAAAGAAGAAGAAGAAGAGGGGGAGGGAAGGACGAGAGGGAGAGAGAGGAATTAAACAATCGATGTTCCCTCCTCGCGTTTTCACGGAACTTTCCGGTTTGTTGCTCCCATTGAATCGAAACTTCAACACAACCGGCTCCAATTTTATTGCACAAAGTTCCTTCCGAAGTCGAAACTTCGGAGGAACTCGATATTGACCTTCGATTGACCACCATTCCAGTCCTTTCGACCGGACGCAGGATCGTTCATTGGATCCAATGTTTATACTCTGCGAATGACCGAATGCGGGCCAGCAAACATTCTCTTCCAAGTATACCGTGGCGAACTACAAGTATCGCTGCAGTATTTGTTTACACTAGCGGTTCAATCAAGTTACGGCGCCATAGTAATTGGATTAAACAGGCCGTGCAGCCGCCACAGGAATTATCCATCATGATCCAATGTGACGAATTGCAGTCGAACGCGCTACGGATACGGAACGTCTGTTTTCGAGAAACTCCTAATCGAGGTAAGAAGATAACGCGGATATGTCATGATCGGGTCGTCTGATTGCGGTGCTGTTACCTGTGATTAAATCACTGTGCTACTCTAATCGAATTACGGTAGTCTCAGTCAGCGCGTGCACGTCACCGATTTATCACGCTCGCTCGCAGAAACCATACCTGCTAGCGTGAACTTCGTAATCTTTGCATCTGATACGACAAAGCGAATACAATAATCGATAAGGAACGTTGCTCAATTTCTCAATTCGGATCGTTGCTTTCCAGCCGGCATTACGCGCTCGTTCCACAAATGGTCTCTCGTTGAGGATGAAATGTGTTCGCAGCCTCGAAGGAACAATACGAGTCGCTTCAAGTCGCAATCGAATTATCAATCGACAAAGGTTGGAGTCAATAAAGAACTGAAACCACATATTTTACTCATATCCAATCGAACACAAAGGGTGTATCGAATTCTTAAGCGAAGCGTGCTACAATGTTTTATTCAGAAGAAACATAGTTTTCGATTCGATACGACTGGTTGAAACTGTATAAAACGAACGCCATCATCGTTTATCGCAGTTCTCTCCGATCTCGGTTCGTTGTAGCACGGACAAACGCGTAAATCGAAGAAACGACACGTGTCCCCTAATATTTAAGTACGATACAATCGGTGTGTTTGTATGCGTGTATGTATGTATATACGCGATCGTTTATGTACGTTTAGCTACGTTGGCCTCGAAGCCAAATGAGAAGTACCACGATCCACTAATTCATTGTCAGTTACAGTGTTTCATTATTGCGCTACAGCGAACGGGAGGGAACAATAAAAGATCTCAAGTTTCTCCATCGTTATCAATTTCTTTTCGCCATTTCAACGAATCCAGTCGCGATAATTATAATATGTAATATGCGTACATTCCTATAGATCGTGTGAGTCATAAATGCACTTTGGTATTCCGGTCTAGTCGGGACATTCATGCGAATATAACGATGCAGGTACAAACGCGAAGGTGCGACACTCGGTCGTCAATCGATTTCCCTCACGTCGATCTCGAATGAATCAAGAATCTCTGGTGTTTATTTTCAATTATATTTCTGCAAGATCTCGTTTTATCACGTTAAACAAAAGCGTACATTAGTTTCTATTTTATGTTAAATATATTGAAGAAACTTAAAGCCTTCAGACACGTTTAACCCTTCGAGCCTCAGATTTTCGTTTGGAATCAGACATCGGGAAACAAGACAACGTTCTACTAGGTATCAAATTGTCACGTAGAAATATAAAATCGAACCTGTATAAAGATTATTTCCATAAATTTCACTTCTTTTGCTACACTATCGAACACTATACTATGAGTTCGTAATATTGGATCTGTTAGAAAAAAAGTTCGGCCAGAAGAATCCTGCAGCCTCGAAGACTGGAAGGGTTAACTTTACAATTAATGAATATCGCACCCTACTACTACGTTAAGTTTGACAATTTAATTGCAAAAAGACGATACAGCGAATACCTCTATTTAACTAAGAAACATCGGCTACAATAACATTACCACAGAACGCGGCTGCCTTGCAAATTACATCCTTGCCTTCACAAGAGTCCTTCGAAACGCTACAAATCATTATCTACTATATTATCAAACATCGGTCAATCCTTTCGCTACGAAGATCAAAGTTTTTTGTCTCAGAAAAGCGAATGTTCCTTTTCTTATATTAATTACTTAGATGATACAACGAAATTCTATCCGCATAAAGAATTGAGTATATTTGTTCATACGAATGAACTACATACGATTCTTCAGAGCTATATTAATCAAAGAAAATGTAAAATCTTATAAAATCCGGATACTTTTCTCAATTTAGTTAGAAGAATTAGATAGTTTCGTAATCACCAATTAAAATTAATCGCGAGATGATTCAACGATTTGATACAATAATGTAACGCTTTGACGAAATTTCTAGTAGTATTTTCGATTTAACTGGAAATACTCTATCGTAGCGAAAGGGTAATCAGCGCAACCGAAAAGACATCGATCTCCCTTTCACCCTCACCCCCCAAAAAAAATCAAGCACTGTAAATCATTGAACGACCATCGATCCCGTCGTTCTCGATGATCGATCGTTCCGACTAGATCGGCATATTTTTAGATTCATTCGCTTCGCCGGCGTGGAGGAGACAATCGTTGCAGCCGCGTAGAGATCGAGAGGACTTCCTTCAATTATACCGGAAGTGTTCCCTCTCGAACGAGCGTTAATGCGTCCTCATTCTCTTTAGGCATGAGCATCGCGAGCTAGGCGATAAAGATTAAAACGAGTATAGCAAAGTTATTCCCTCCTTACGGAAATGTCTAAGTGAATCTATCCTACGTCGAACTACAACCGTATTTTTCCGGTCGAGGAGTCCGCAGCCGAGTGTCTTCTCCGCGAAACACGAGATCGAATGAAGAAAAAATATATACGGTCTGCGTGCACCGAGAAGCCGTATGGTACAAATCCTTTCTCCAAACCTTTATCCAAATATCTTTAGGCGCTTTTTAAATTGTTTCTAGTCCACAGCTGGCACAACATATTCTTCAGCGACTATATTTTCCTCGAATAAATAGTATCGAACGTAACATAGTAGTACATATCTTCGATATCTCGAAAAAGTAAAGTTCCTTTGGGATTCGTACCAGAGAACTTCCGGGTGTTCACAGTACAACGCTGCAGTACACGACGGTGCGAATCAACGCTACACGACACGTTATTACATAAGGGACTGCGCTAGAGAGACAGTTTAACGTTCAGAAGAAACGGTGCTAGTGCACGTAGAGTTCGCGTTAAGCACGGCAGATTAATGAATTACAACGTATCACTTAATTTGCTGTTTCACGTTCATTTCGTTCTCTTTTCTCATCGTTTTCTCCAGATAAAAGCCTTATCACATCAATGTACAACGACGACGCCAAGGAAAATCACGCTCGCTCTCGGCTTCAACCATGTGACAAACGGAATTTTCTCATTCTCGCGTTTTTTCCACGGAAGTTTCTATCATTTTTCCTTCGTCTTCTTTTTTTCTTTCTAAATTCTAATTAGCAGATTGAAAATTGGCCCACTTCTCTCATGGCACTCTCGATTATCGCTGACGGAACAGTGAATGTCGCGCTCAAGCTAATTTTACCCCAAAACATTCCGAGCCCAGCCTCTTCATTAACGAAGCTCTCGCTATGCATTTTCCCTCCAAAGCGCTTCATGTTGTACCTGGCACAGTACACTATTATAGCTCGACTATATTTCGTTTTGTTTTGTTCGATTCTGATTAAACAGTGGCGTACTTAGAAGCGTTCAGTCTCCTCGATGAAACACGAGCAATATAATATTATTTCGTCGCTCGATATATTATTTTGTCCCCACGTCGTAACGTATGAGATAGATTTATGAATTAATGCACACATTTTTTTCTCATACTAATTCCTGCGTCCGCATTCATGTATGCACATGCTCGTGCGTGTGTGTTTGTGTGTATCTTATGGCAGAAAGAAGACGCAACTTTAATATTTTTTTATTGAATCCTTTCTCTTTTAGCTATGATTAAGCGTTCGCTGGAGTAATTATTCGTTCAAAAGATCACACGCCAGTGAATGATCGTGTAACATCTGTGACTTTATATAAATCAGAAATTGGACAGTTGTATATAAAATGAGAAGTCAATGATTGAGTATTTTTTTCTTTCTCTTCTCTTTGAGTAGCATTTCTTCTTCTTCTCTCTCAAATTATTCTCTTCAACATGCGTCTTCTTTCTCAATTTATGAACGGATCGCATATCGAGTCGCTCGCTTATTTATCAAGAAATATTGAAAAACGTCTATAAAGATTGTTAATTATGATTACATTATAAACCTTGAACAATCTGCCGTCGAACAGACACGCCAATAACATGTTCTAAGTGTGAATAATAATTTTCGCAATTGATCCAGAAATAGACCGCTCGATTGTTCGATTTCCTCGACTACCTGGTGGGCTAATAAAACATTTTACTTTCAGTCGTTTTCATTAAGATCTAGAATATCTCGTGTATCTAGAAGACTCTCGTCTAAGCTTCTCAGTGTCTTGTGCGTGTTGAGTTAGATTTTTACCTCGAATATCGCGATCAAAGGAAACGATGATAGGATGAGCAAAGAACGTTGTTCGAAAGAAATCGGTGGTATCTCGACTTCTGTCCGAGTAGCGTTGGATTTAAATAAGTTCGACGAAATTTTATGGAAAAGTAAAAATAACGAAATCGACGTACTCTCTCTCCTTGAAGAATTCGCAACATCAAAAATCGTGATATGTACAATCTCACAGAAAAGCTGTTTGCATATTGCTTCGATCGCCTAACGACGCGTTCAAAGATGTTGAAATAAGCATGGAAGAGCCACCCTATCATCGTGATGTAGCCGATACATCGATGTCATTCAGATCGGTGAAATTCTTGGTTTTTCTTTTTGAACGACGTCAATTTGCGGTTCATACCGTAAAGTGTAAAGAAGATCGCTAGTTCTCGTCGAAGAGTATCTGGCGAATATAACAACATAACAACGCGCACTACAACCATACGAAGCTATTTGTCGAAGTAACATGAATCATAGCAAAACAGTCAGTTATTCACGCTACAGTTAAACGACTTAAATGAGACTGATTGGGATAGAAGTAGTCAGTAGTAAGAATGGTGTCAATGAAACGTTTTGTGCCTTCGTCGCGCGTTAACTTATGGGCCACGATGTAGACATCAGAAGAAGCCAGCATCTTGTTAATAGTACGTGATGATTTTTGGTTCGTATCAGAATGTCTCAAGGAGTTAGCATTATTAGCTGCACTGATAAACCACCTCCCTAGCAAATGCAGCCGCTTTCTCCCTCCGATTCGGAGCCGTTCTGCATCGGTGATTGATTCTGCAAATCGACAGCTGCTTTCGTGTGTTAAGGCGTTATCACAGTAACCATTCAATTGCCGCTAATATTCAACTATTAATTAATTTAAAACAAAAAAAAAAAAAAAGGATCAGCATGTCGATCAATTCTCGTATTGATCTTATAAATACGTGTAAATTCTATTAGACCTTAAAAAAATCGTATTAACAGATTTGAACGATTTGTGTTTAGGCAGTATAGTGAGTAATCATATATTATATCAAATAAATTTTACAAAAACTTTGCGACGTGTATACGATTTACGATTCTCTTAATATCAATCAAAAATTTAGTCCCATTAAAGTTTGAGTGCAGCATATATATTTTTCTTTTTCCGAAAGCTAGAATAAGTTGTACTTAAAAAGCGTATAAAATTTAAATATTTTAAAATCGGGACGGAACATTCCCTAACATTAATAACAGTGAAATTTTACAGCCACAAAGCACCTTAATTAAAAATTATACAATGAGTGTTCTCACATCTTCACGGTATGATACAAAGCATTGTCATCAGGGGAACTAGAGGCAAAATATTACTTTTTATTATACTGTTAATAGCACTAATAGCGATTGTTCCAGTGAATACGTTACAAACTGTTATCAGCCCTTATCATCTGTTATTTATTAACTAAATACATTATCTGTAGTCATTACTTGAATTTTCAACATTTCTCAAATAAAATTATTATTTTTGAAATCAAACAAATATTTTATTTGTAGAAATGTCATTCTTTTGTATGATTGAAGTTATATAAGAGTATATTAAATTAGCACTATATATAAACAACTTATAAATGAAATTCCTATATTTTTCTTTCAATTTAGTCGAAGCAAAGAAAGATGAATTCACATCATAATTGACAATTCGTCAATCATTTGCTGTGAATTTCATGCAAAGATTTCAACAGTGTTGCAGATATAGAAAACATGTTATCAAAAAAAAAAAAATTAAAAAAGACTCTAATGAATTTTAAAGCACAAAAACGAAATAATTGCCTCATTTAAGTACTATATGCCGTATGCGATAAGAATGCTTGATTTACCTTCGACCTATTTTTTACTTTATCTCTGTATAGATTTCATGTTATCTCACTATTAGAGCAAAGTTTTTCGCCAAAGGCAACGGAACTTTTATATATCAAGACAAGAATATGCAGTAGAGCTTTTTTTTTTTAAATTTTCAAATCAATAGACCTTAAGAATGTACTTTCCCTCTATTTTCCCTACATGTATATAAACCCTAATTAAAACATTGTAGGATTAAAAATAAGTCTTATAGTGATCATAAAATGAGGAAATATATATAACAAGGAAAAAATAGCCAAAAAATTATGGTTCGTAAAAAATCAATATAAAAAAATAATAATACTATTAGATGTTTTTTTATATAAATTAAAATATTACAATAATTATTAACAAAAATGTCATAGTATTAGGTATAATAGCATTCTGTCTATCCATATCCCAAATTTTAAGTTAATATGTACAAATCCGATTTTGTCAATGTTTCTGAAAATGACTTGTTCTATCTAAATTGTTTTCCGCTTTTTTTTTGTATATATATATATAAACGAAATATTCAGTCCAAATATATAAATAATACTTCAATAGGAAATGCAGTATATTAATTTATGCAGTGATTGTTCCGAATCAAAGAAAACCATTATACATGAGCAATAGTTTCTTAAAATATTTATAAAAAATGAAATATCATAAACTACTAATTTTGTTGCAGCGTTGAAATTATTTTTCCTGTTACGTTCATTTATAGTACGCTCGCAAGTACATATTATACGATTTGTTTTTTATAATAACTCGCTTCACATTTCAATCAAATATATCCGTAAATATATAAAATTTTTATTGCTCGCGTTTGCAACCAGTTCAAATTGATAACGAATCGTAGTTGACTATTAATTTGACTGCATTTACGCAATACGTAATTTTATGGTATCACTATTAGTTTATCCCGTATTGCAACTTATATATACATGACGATAAATATATATGTATATATATAAGTGCACCATTTATCATGCAATTGCAGCACTGATCATGCATATGACTAGTATCTCATACAAATTCTTTTTTTGTCAGAACGCAAAATATAAAAAAAATTTCATTACTTAAAATTACAAATATTCGTGACAAACAAAATATTTGTTATAAAAATTATTTTCTGATTAAAAAAATCTAAGCACTATCTAGAATGACGATTATTAACAAGACGTTAAGAAAGCAAGCGGCCCTGATGAAGTACAAGAGTTTAAATGAATTGGATTATGTTGATGATTTACTAGTACACACAAACACGTCATTGTGTAAAAGCAGTCTGCTTAAGCTACCGTGAGATATTTATTTTTTTTTTTTTTTTTTTTCACAGAAAAGTCAGTATAGCTCTTCAGTACAGTGCTGTTCCTTTCCATATTGTGAACTGGGAAAAGAACACAGACTGAACATCACTGTCCTAGCATTGAAAATGTAATTTATAAATTAACTTAGATCAGTGTCTTGTCTACCATTAGGCTGATCGGTGGTTTAACATGCACAACTGCTCTCCGATGCTCTCAGTTCAATTGGTGTGTCCTGCAGAACTACTTCTTGCACTACAGGTTTAGCTACACATTAAGGAAAACACAAAAAGATAACGGAAAAAACTGAAATTGTCAATGTTAAAAAATAATAGCAAAAGTAATAGATAGACTCAAAATAAATCTTAGAAAATTAGTAGTAATTATAAAAAAATTTTAAATTGTATGACACATATTTTATTATCTTAAAAATTGAATAAAATATTACTATAAAATATAGCCAAAATTTAAATAATCAATGAAATTTCTGTAAAATAGAAAAAGATTATTATCAGAAATTAAAAGTGTGTAATAAATAAAAACAAAGTAAAAATTAAGGATATGGGATATGTTCTTGGTGCTGTACTTGAGGAAAGAAAAATTTCTGAAATATAATTATATATATGTACCATGCAAATGTGCACATTACGTATCTTACGTAAAGGATACTATCTTCGGGTGGTTTATTTTCAGTGGAATCCATGCCTGGTAAAGCTGCTGCTACTCTTCTAAAGAGCTGGTCAATAAAAAAAATATGATTAATATATTACAATTTTTCCTAATAGAGTAAGAAATGTCTATTATGTAACAGAAACTTACCTGTTTCACATTATATCCAGCTTTAGCACTAGTTTCAATAAACATCACATTTAACTCTTTAGCTTTTCGTTCACCTTCTTCCATTGATACTTGTCTTTTATCACCCAAATCAGTTTTATTACCCACTAACATAATAATTACATCACTTCCTCTTTCAGTCCGTACATCATCAATCCATTTTGATGTTTGATGAAATGAGTTTGCATCTGTGTAAATAATTCACTTAAACTGTGACATAACGTGACACAGCTCACACTTTATTTCATTTATTTATTTCAAATTAAACTTACTAGTAATATCATATACCACTACTGCAACAGTAGAATCTCTGATATAACTAGGTATCAAAGATCTAAATCGTTCTTGGCCTGCAGTATCCCATAGTTGTAATCTTACAGTCCTATCCTCCAGATACATAGTTTTGCTTAAAAAATCTATACCTATTGTAGCCTGTAATAAACAGTATAATATTTCATTGCAATTTTATGTATAAAACATCTTTATTTTGCTCTTAAATACTTTAATTAAAATTCTATATTTGAAATTTCACATCTTGACATACATTTACAAAATAGTCCTATGTATCTTATATCTTGTTTCTTTCCGTCTATTACAAAAAGTCAATAAATTGGTTTCCCTATTGTCTCTTCTACTTATATTTATGCGTGACAATTGACATTGGTCATTTTATATAATAGAAATGCATTTCTTATAAAAATTGTAAATAATATGAAATGAAATGAATAAAATGAAAGATGAAACTAAAAACTTGTTTCATAAAACATTTTCATAAAATCATTGAAAAGTATATCAAAATATGGATGATCTCAGAAATTTGAAGTGTATGTTGTATGATAAAAAAGAAAATTTAAAAACTGCCATATTTCAAAAATTTATAAAATAACACATTTTAATCCATATCATTAGACAATCCAATTTGTTACATGTTATATTTGTAACATGTTATATTCCCTTTTGTGCATTTATTCAAGAAAGTATATAAATTTTATAACATATACATAAATATACATGTATCACACAACCAATAATTTCATACCTGATACGTGTTGTCAAAGCTGTCATACATAAACCGTGTGATAAGAGAAGTTTTTCCAACTGCAACATCAAATCACACGATTAATGCAAAAAATTTACTATTGTGTATATAAAAAATCAAAGTATAATATCTTTTCAGATTGTAGTTTAAAAGCATACATAAACATTTAAATCATATTGCAGGCACTTGTAAAATATAAATTCATAATAAGGCTATTCCTTCTTGGACAAAATAAAAATTACTTAAATTAGTTCACAGTGATTAAATCATAGAACAGTGCCATATATCGATATCTTCTGCAATCCTTGATGATTGAAAATCATTATGTTTCACTCTTGAAGACGAAACAAATATAAAAATAACGGTACGAGATTAAATACATAATTATGAATTTTAATGGTTAATAGGTATTTTTTGTGATAATGGTGAGATTTTATAATGAGGTATACACAAAATCATATTGAAACTAAATGCTGCTAACAGTGATAACAAGAACGACGCCAAATTCGATCGCAACGATAAAGTTGGACAGTGACCAGAAATATTGATCTATAACCTAAAACGGTCATTGAAACCGATGCGTACGATAAAAACTATCGTATCTGATTCATCAGAAATCATCAGAAAGATAAAACGGACATATACGTGACCAATATTGATCCAAAATCGACGGAAGTATATCTGGAAAATACATACCGCTTTGTTCACCGAGAAAGACAAGCTTAAATTTACGCAACGGGTTTCCAAAATCACCCGAAGACGACATTTTCCTTGTATATAAGAACTATTGAACAATGAATTATAAGTACTAAACACACGAGATTAACTTAATTAATGCAACGAGTCACTAATTTTCACGAGAAATCATTTAACTTGACAGATCGCAAAGCCACTCCTTCCTTCACTCGCAAGGCAGCCACGTTTAACTGGGAAGTGACGTCATTGGTTAGTTGTTAGTCTTATTAGTTTCGAATCATATTCCCCTAGATGGCGCTTTAAAGTACATTGAAAGAACAGTTTTCTACTACAGAGAAATTTACATAAAAACATTACAATTTCACAAATTCAGTCACATAAAAAGATAAATGTGTTAAATAATGTTGTTGGAAAATTGTTGAAGTATGTATAAGGATTCACAACGCTAAGTTATAAAATGGTTTATTAGTAACTGCATTGAATAAAATCTATACAATTTCAAAATAATAAGCCTCCAGATAGTATTGTTACTGAAATAGCTAGTAAAGTCCATATATTGTAGGATTTTTCGCAGTACATCTAGAAAAATACTTTGTAATGTTGCGATATTTGATTTGAATATGTACATATTATATACGCTCATGCACACATACAATATACAATGTAGATATAACTGATTCTTTGATCTTTTTCTTTTATTGTTGGTGAAGTCTATTATTATTTAAGTTTCTGTAAGGATCTTCAACCACAATAGAATTACAAAGTAGGTCATAAACAGTTCTGTTAAACCTGAAGAAAAATAAGGCAAAGCATATAGGGAACAAAAATGCTAAAATCATATTCTTCACAACCGATCTTCCAAGTGCTAATGGTAAACCTAAATCTGTCCCTGGTGAAACGAGTACAACATCAGGATCATCAGGTCTATCAACAGGTGTAACATTACGGCATTGAACTACTCTTAATCCCATCATGGATTTACCAGGTGTTGCACCACCAATACGACCGTTTATACCATGTTGAAGCCAAAATGCCTAAAAAGATGTTTTTATTGAACATTAACTCATATTATTACCTAGCAATGGTATACACACCTCAAAAATGCATACTATCACACGATGAATTATTTCTAATACTAATATACCATATGTCATTTCTAAAGCCATTTTATAATCAATTCTCAAGTTTGCCCGTACCAAGTCTAGATCATCTATATCTCTAGAACAAGATAGAATGATGACAAGTCAAAGAAAGAGGAAGTTACAAACAAGTAAAGAGAAATTTTACATACATGAAATCAAAAACATCAATAGCAATGAAAGTAATGGAAAACTTCAAAAGAAACAACATTGTCGAATCTATAAACTCCGCTACAAATCTCTTCCATATTGGAGGTATACGATATTCAAAACCTGAAAGAATTATTTTCTTAAATCTTAATAGACAAGATGATTATGATACTAAATGATACAGATGAAAATGTATGTTCCAAAAATACTGCATTACATGACACTTTTTAAGAACACATAAATTAACATCTCAAAGATAATATACAAAATGCAGTACTTTTGTAATAAAAGCACATATAGTACTAGCTGAACCTCTGTTGGAATGTGATGGACACAGGAGATATCGTTATGACCTTCTACCTTCAGCTCCAGGAGGTTGAAATGGAGGTCCTACATGGTCTTGCGGCCTTCTTTGTCTGACTGGATCGTTCTCTTGGCCATTTGTGCCAACAATTAACCTATGTGTATTTGCTACATTTGATACTTGTGATGAGAATGATGGTACACCTATAATTATTCTATTTTATAGAATAATTTTGTTACACACTGAATTTACATGTAATTTGTAAATTATATGCTTTATGAGATGATAACATTCTGACCATGATCTTACCAGATGGATTTATTATTTGTCCAGACATTAAATAATATGGAAACATTGCAGCCATGCTCTGCCATGCATAAGCTTCATGTAACCATTTCTCTAATTTTTTAAAATATTCCGAACGTTCTTCCGCAGCTATCGTTTGTCGCTGATCTTTATTTTCCTTAGCGTTATCATCTTTTGTATCTTCATTTTTATCATCTGCCATATTGCTGTTTCGAAAAAATTTATTAAATACAAATATTATCAACTTTCTCGAAGTAACAATATTGTGTTGAAATTATTCAAATTAATTCCATTGAAATAACAAAATAGTAAAACTCGGTAATTGTTCGTAGAAATAACTTATGTTCACGTGAAATATTAATTTTCACATGCAAAATAATAAACTAAGACAGTATCACTAGAAAGTCAATCCACAATATTAACAAACAGGCGAAACAATCGTGTACGTTTGCTTTGCATCCACGTAATTCTTGCTTCTTTAGATTGGAGAGGGATAGTCCAAAATAAATATTTCACGTATTTGTTCATTTGACGTATATAACAAATGAATAATTATTATTTTTTTCAAAATTGTAACAACAATTACACGTATTTTTGACGTATTTATCCCTTAGATTTAACAGTCAAGAAATTTTAAAAATTGCTATTGGCTAACATTTATTTTGTCCAATTGAATTCGTCAACACAAGTAAATAAAAGTTCAACTCAAAAGTACGCTTGTAAAATGTTTTGTTTATAAACAAAAATAAAATGTTATTACAAATACATATATAATTGTGAAGTCTATCGAAATATTTCAATTGTAACGAGATCGAATAATTCGTAACTGAGCAAGTTACAGAGTTCGAACATAATTCATGGGCGTATAACGTACTAATATAAAATTTCGATAAACAAAAAATTTATAATAAATTCGTATAAAAAAAAAAAGTTATATAGACACCTGAATTGCAGGAAGTTGGAGAGCCGAAGTATAGATGAAAAATACCGACTGGAAACAAAAAGTTACTGCGCGCTGGTATGACTGGATACTATGAGAACTAAAAACCCTAGTACGCTTTTCAAACCAGGTGGCAGTGTGCGGTAGTTCGCATTGCGGCGCAAGCTTCTCAGGGCATGACGTACATGAAGCATTCGTGCAGTAATCACGGTCAGAGGACGGTTCTGACGACTCGCCTCTTTCTGTATTTCGCGTTCACGAAATAAATAAAGATCGAAGCGGGTAGGTGTCGTGAAGCAGTGTGTCGTGCTAAAAGGCTGTGTACGATCGTAGGCGTTACGAGTGACAGTTGATTTAGTCTTGAACAGGGTGTGGGCTACGACGCCAGAAGAAACATTTAGGTAAGATCGTATTAATTTTGATCGTTCTATATAACATTTTCATTGGTATATTACCAACGATATTAATTGGGGAAAAACTAACCAACAATTTCATATTGAACATAGTGTTCTTCATGCGGAAAAACAAAGCTGCGGTTATTCTCTTAGTCACGCGTCAATTCGATGGAATGTCGCGCTAGAATTCCGAGAATATAAGCGATGGATTATAAGCGAAAAATCGAATCTCCCTCTTTCACCAATGCGGTAAACAATTACTCAGACGCGACACACGTTTCCCATTGTCATGAGAACGCGCATTCGATCGTCGTCCGCGTTATTATCCATCGGACAAAACAGCATCAATGACTTACACGACAGCGTGTAAAGTTCGATTTAGTTCCAGTTCCAAAGCAGAGGTTAAGAGTTGAAAATAACCTCCCATGAATGTAACACATTTAAGTACACTTTTCTCAACTAGATTAGCGTCAAACACACGCGGTACTCCAAATCGAAGGATGTAGCGTTGAACAAACGTAGAGAATGTTAAAAAGCCCGAGTTCAATTTATATTTTACGATTATGGAGAGAACAATTCGTGGCCCACGTGCAATACGAGATGTACGCGTATATGCCTTGGCGAGGAATAAAAAAAGAGTCGTTGGTAAACGAGGCCGATATCTCACCAGACAACACAGATCAGTCGAATGAAATTTAGCCAGCAATACTACGGATTACTTAAATCCTCCCTCGCGGGTTAGATTCCGTTTTTAACAAATCCACGACTATCTTGTAAAAATTTTCTTGATACCTACTACGGAAATTGTGTTTCACAAAAGGAATACAACGAAAGAGGGAGGGAGCGGAGAAAAAAGAAAAAACGAGGGAAAAATGCGTTGGTTGATTCGGTAGAATGCGTGCCGAATAAAAGGTGAAACTTTCCTCCAAATCAAACACGAGGTGAATGGCCGCAGGCACACTGAGTCTCATTCACGCGTCGTGTAAGCACCTTTACGTTTTCGGAACCGGTTGCACCGAATTTATGGGAAAATGGCCGAGCATCGTAGGAGCTCTGCACGCCTTGCAGAGCTTTTCTCAGCCCGCTATTGCTCGTTCCTTTAATTTGTGCCCGGTCGAACGCGGGCAACGTTGCGGCATAACGCATCGCATACTAATTTCGCAGCGTCCCGGTCGAATTAAATGCGCCTCTGCACGCGAAACGTTTCCGGTTCCAGCGACGTTTCGACGATTCTGTCAGTGTTATTAAAAACTGTCGCCGGTAGAACTGAAATTCCTTTTCACGTTCTTTCAGACGCACAAACGTGAACTCCGATGTTAGCTTATTTTTACTTATCCACTTTCATTTCAAATCTTTTGTCAAAAATGTGATTAAAAGCATGATCAACTTTTATATCTATATATTTTTGTATCTATATATTTGCCTTTTCTGATTCGATCGTTTTTCGCCATTTGACGAATGCATTTCTCGATAACCAGTATTTCCGTTGATTGAGTTCTCTGACATAGGGGAAACTTTGCTAACGCAAATTGCCCCACTCGATCGTGCAACAACGCTTGCAGCGAGATTACAAGTTTCCTAATCCATTTTATACGGAGACCTAAATAAACGTGGTATCGATTGAAAATTTGAAAAAGAAAGGGGATTTTAGCGTAGAATTTCGTTATCGCATACGTGAGCTGATTACTAGATCATCTAATCTGTACGATAAATCTAATCTAACGGGATTTCGAGATAAAATACTTTAGTTCTTCTTTTGCTTGTTCGTACTTGGTTCGTATTAATATCATTCCCATCAATGAATTTCAAAGATTAATCACGCGAGTTTAATTCCTAGAGCTGGTTATTAGTTGTGACAATGCAAACCTCCTCCACCACGTTGCCAGCGAAATTGCAGTTGTTTGTGGGCATCGATTATTAATAATCGTCAGGGAGAATAATGACGGTTCCCGTTCTGCCCGTGCAATCGATTGGTAAATTAATATTTCCATGTTTCCATACGATTCGCAGACAGACGTTGCTTTTCGCCAATCCGACGTAATAAACCGTCCATGCATGATTTAGTCGCGTCAATTATAAATCAGCTGATCGCTGAAATATCCTCGAGGAAGATCCAATCACCTGAGGAGAGAATCACGCGAATTATTGCCCGCCAATTCCAATGGCACTTTGTGAAACAGGCACGGAGTCAGAAAGCATCGTTCACACGAACGTTCAACATTATTTCCAGAACACTCGATAAATTCCACTTGCCAGGGAATTTTGTATCTCGGCTAGTTGCGACTGCATCTCGACAGAAGCCTTCGAATCGTTACGTTGCTTCTTGTTGCCTGCAACAAAGAGGAGCAACGCTACAGACGATCTTTCCTCTCGTTGAAATTCCACGGATTCCGTTCTCGATTTTCAGCCGCTGCATTCTCGCCGATTTCGATACCGACTTGACTCGACTCTACGGCTCGATTCACGCAAAAGTATCGCGAGTCGTTCGCTGTGATCGATGTACGATTGCTATCGGGAAACAATGGGTTTGTATCCGTGGACTTCCGCCGGGCCAAGAATGAAGCTGCACATGTCGAACCCATTTACAATAGCCAGACAATGAGGTTTCGTATCGAACATTCTCAGAAAACTGACAAAGTCTTTTCGTCATTTGCACCGTGCTTAAACGATAAGTTTGGGATATTGGACTTCGGTTCCTGAAAATTAGCTGTACCTGCTCGAATGAAACTCAACGATCGATGGTCTTCCTAATTAGCGAAAATGTGATTCTGGTTGGCTCTACAAGAGCGGTTTCATGTCGCGGATGGATTAATTAGATCCTATCTGCGGAAAATTCTGAAGAACGAACGAGTCGAAGTTTGCGTGTAAACTCGTTGCTTTTCTCTTTATTCTTCGTTTCAAAAGAACTATGTTACGACCGCATCGCTAGATTTTCTAGATACACGCTGTTTTCTAAAATTTACAGACGAATGAATGAACACCCGTTCACTTAATGTCGGTCAAAAATAAATTATCGATCAGATTTGATACGTCGCGTTTGGAATTGGCGTTTGCTTTTTATAATACACCGAAGCATCAAATCGCGAGGAAAACTAGAGTATATGACGTTCAACACTGTTCTAAGTGGAAAGTGAATCTCTTTTGCCGATGCAATTTCGCTAAAGGCATCACTGTATGGACGGATTCCATTGAAATTCCATGTGTGTGAATCATGGTACAGATGAGCTTTGTCCCTTCCATGAATAGTGCCGGATAAAATCTCATTCCGGCGTATGGAAACTCTAATTTTTATCTAGTTTCGCGGTAAATTTCATCGCCAGCTTTCTGTAGAAATGAGATCGTCCGGCAACGTCCAAATGTATCTTATGCAAGATTGTATTATTCGCGACGACCGCACATATTTGTCGACAGCTCAAAGTACGTAATAAATTCGTGATTAATGTATAATTTAGTAAAAAAGAACTACGTGCAAAATGAAGAGCGTCGACAGTATCGATTTTGAAAAGAGAGGCAGATAAAGCATCGACTTTTCACTTGCAGACAGATGTGCAGAGAGAGCAGAGAGATACTTTCTTTTGGTCTATGATCAAAGTGATACGGAAGAAATTTGCATTTTAATCCGTGCAATATTTTGCGCGTATCGCGAGAAGTATTCTCGACATCTTTTCACATTTGTCGGATGCATTGAAAAATATTTGCAAGCTTTTCGCGGCATACGATGGTATAATACGATATATATCGTTTGATTCTGTATTTGTTTTGAAATATCGCGATACGTATCGATTAAAAAAATAGCACAGATAATAAATTCAGTCTTATATCACGAACATAACGCAAGAATTACGTCGTGAACAGTTCTACAATTATGGTAGTACAGAAGTATGTCTGAAAATACGACTGATTCAAATAATAATTCGAGTCTCGTGCAATTAATACGCTCAACGAAGCACATTAAGTATTATATGAACAATAATAAGTTGTATTCAAAGTGACGTAACTGCGTATGTGTCGATTGAAATTCTATAGAAAATTTCGAAGTTCAGAGTTCGCTAATGTCACGACGTCTTACGATAAGATTTATGATTCCACGAATAAGAGAAAAAGTGATGAGATCAGGAACATTTCCAAATGAATTATCACAATTGTTTCGAAATCAGCTTTCGACATCTGTAAAATTTTTCGTTCTCAAAAATGATGTAACCTGATGGCGACTTTCTATTCCAAGTGGTCAACATTTTTGAAATGCCAATCAATCAGCATGTATCACACGCTTCGTGATGCGGATCGGCATTCTTGTGTCGGTGAAACAATATCTCGAAATCGACGTATGTATATCTCGAAGGATGCACGGATCGACGATTGCGCATACAATGGACTCTCGATCCT